CTTAAGGTCCTAAAGTTCTTTTTTAGAATCTATATAGATTAATTTTTACTATATGTTAAGCTCCTATTTTTATGCTATTTATTTTAATACTTATTTTATTATTAGTTTTTTAACTTAAACAATATAAGCTGCCTATTTATATTCTTATTTAATATACGTTTTTTCTCTATATATCTAGTACTTCTTCTATATAGTTTTTTCAGCAGCTTCTTTGTCTTGTACTTATAAAATAAATAGAGTAGGTTTTTTTTCTAGTCTTTTATTCTAGTCCTAGCCTAGCTCTAGATGTCTAACAGGGTAGTAATAGATTATATAACTTATAAATAGTATTAATTCTTATTTATAAATCTTATTTATCTATATAGCTAGTTCTTATCTACTAAGTCTTTTATATTACTTATTTCTAGCTACTTATAATACTTATTAGTACTTATGTATTCTGTTTTCTAGGATAACCTTTTAGTACTTAGTGATATAATATTCCTTTATGTGGTATTCTAATCTGTAGATTTAATAATATCTCTAGCTTATTTATTATTTAATTATTATAGATATTAGCTTTTTACCCTCTATTATCTCCTAATTTTATTATTATCTGAATTTCTAGTCTTCTGCTCTGAAGAGTCCTCCTTTCTGTTAAATTATCTTATAGAATTAGTTAACTTTTTTTAAAGAGCTAGCCTAATATTATCTGATAGCTATTTTTTATATAATAGTAATTATATTATTAGCCTGTTCTGCTAAATAATCTTTAACCTACTAATATAGTATTTTATATTTCTATTTAAGATATGTATTACTTTTATAGATTTAATATTATTCCTTCTAAATTTATTATATAATAGCTTTTTTAGTTATCTAGTCTTTAGCTAGTTCTACTTAGACTATAGTAATTTTAACTAGTGCTTTAGTTTAAACATAAACCTATTTAATATCTACTCTTTATTATTTATAGTCTTTAATAAAGTGTTTGTTTTTTTTATAACTAAGATATACCATACGTGTATATTAATTTATTTATTTTTTAATTTACTTATTTTATTTTTACTTGTTAATCTATACATTCTTAACTGACACTTAGTTAATTTTTATTATATTATAGGTTTAGTTATCTTTTTTATTCTTCTATAGTATATAAATTATTAGCTTAGTATTATTCTTTTTTTCTTATTCCCTCTAGTACTAATAGTTATTAATTGTTACTATTTATTTAATAATTCCTAGAAGTGTGCTAGGTTGTTTTTCTTAGAAAATTTTATTCTTAATTCTATCTTTTAGTTTTATATAGTATATTATAACTAGAAGTTAATCTATCTAGTCTAGTTAAAATTAGATTTACTTAAATTCTGCTATATAGTTAGCTGTTAATATGTATTATTTAAGCTATTAGAGCTTCTAAATTATCTCTATTTCTTTATTAATTTTTTTAAAGACTATAATTATTTCCTTCTTAAAGCTCTTATAGTTTTTGAAGGTTTTTTTAATATTATTATTATAGTTTATAAGTTCTGCTAATCCTAGATTAAGGTTTCCTTTAGCTAGATAATTCTTTATAAGTAGTTTAAATTATTTTATAGCTCTTCCTATTATATTTATACTAGCTACCAGAATCTAATCTTAGTTAGTTATAAATAAAGATTAATTAAACTAATAGTAAAGGTTTATTATGGCTATAAAGATTTTAAATTCATCTCTATTACTATTAAACTTTATAGAAGATTATATTTTTATTATTTCTTCTCTACTAGTCTTGCATACTGTTACTTATTATTATAAGTTAACTAAAGTATTATATAATTCTATAATAGTTGTTTCTTATTTTTAAATAATTTACTATGTACTCTTACTTTCTCCTGATGTACTTCTAGTAGTAGATAAAGATTCTATTATAACTTCTTTTTTACTATTATTTTTCTCTAACAAATAAAGTTCTCGTTCGTTCTTGTAGTAGGTTATTATAGACTATAACTAGAAATTTATTATTAGAATCAATCCAACGTCCTCTCCTACACTTTAAAAAGGGTAGTTATAATATTATAAGTTATCTTAATTTAATAGTATATTTCATATTAATAACTCTATTTTAATTAATTATTTAATAAGTTTTTAGTTTTTTCTGTATCTAGAGTAGATAGCCTTAAGTTTAATAGAATAAAATTTATACTTTATCGCAAGATAGAGAGAGGAATATATAATAAATTTAATAAAATAATTATTAAACTAATTCACTTAAGTTTAAGTCTTAACTTAGAGAGAAGATCTTAATTTTAGAGTAACTATAAAAAATCTAAAATATCCCTAAGCCGTTTCTTATTTTATATTTATAGAAAACTCTTTATACATACATTATATACCTACTAGCAGTATATTAGATACTACTAGAAAAAATAATAAAGATAAGTTTAGTCTTAGTATTATTTTTTTTATCTATACTTATTTACTAAGTCTCTCTTAGTTACGTGTATAATTACTTCTAATTCTATAGTATAGTTTTATATCTTTATTCTTACTTTTTAGCTTATATTTTAGCTTGTGCTAGTATATCCTATGTCTACTTATAATTCTTCTTTTCTAACTTAAATATATGTTTCTATTCTAGAATTTTATTAGCTATTATGGCTAGTTTTCTTAGTTCTTTAAATATAACTACCTTACTATTACTGTCCGTAATAATGTTATAAGAAACTTAAGAAAAATTAGAAAGTCATATAATTCATTTAATTCTCTTAATAAAGACTATTTTATATAGTTAAATACTAAACTATAATAACACCTATATAATACTAATATAGAAAAGTGATTATATTACTAAGTTTTTTTAATATATTTTTAATATTTCTGTTCTTTAGCCTGGCCGTGGTAAGCTATTTATTCTAAAATTTAAATATTATTTAATCTTTCCTTAAAGAGATATAGCTATTTAAGTATGGATAATTAAATTAGTTATAATTAATAATCTTAATTATTATACCTGCTTTAGCCTTAAAGGTGTAATTATTAACAGATATTTATAAATTACTATTAGAATTAATAATAGTTATCTAAAAAAGTAAGTGTTTAGTACGTAAGGAAAAAATTAAAGATATTATATTATATTTTATCTTACTAAAGTTATAAGTGTCTTGTTCTATATAAATAAAAAAGTATTTATATTTCTTTTAAGTAACTTTAGGCTTTTTTAATTTATTTTTTTACACTATATAAAGAAAAGTAGCTGCTTTAAGTTTATAAAAACTAACTAAAAATATTTTATATATTTCTCGTAATTATAAAGAGATGTTGTTGCTAGATACTAAGTATAAAAAAAGTAATAACTTTATAGTAATCTCTCCTTTAGTATATTGTTATATATCTAGGTAAATTAACTAGATAAAAGTAACTAAAGTATTTAGATAAAAGTAATTAAGTTAAACTATATCTCTTAATTAAGTAAATAGAGTAGGATTATTTTAAGTATTTATTTAAGCATTTTCTCTAAAAAGCAGCTGCCTAAAGACTGCTAACTAAAATAAAAATAGATATATAATAATACTAGTAAGCTAGTAAATAATATCTGTGCATATATACTAAGCTATAATTAACTAATAAGTTATAGGTTTAATTTAGATTTATTAGTTTATATAATATTTAACCACTTTGCTCTCTTTTAACAGGAGAGATATAAACTATAAGCGGTTTATTTAAAAAGAGTCTTAAGAAACAAGCTTAGATTTAGCAATTTTTAAAGTGCTAGAGTTATTTATATGTTTATAACTTTTATTTTTCAAGATTTATAAAGACATGTGGGGTTGGGATGGGTGCATGTTTAGTAGTTTACTCTACTAGCGTGTACTGGTTACACGATGCTGGATATATAAAACGACAGTTATTTAACACGTTAAATCATTAACATTTATATCAAAAGTAAAGTAGTAAAAATATAGTTTATTTACGGCATCCTGCTAAGACAGATATAATGTCTAACCTGCATATTATTTTCTAAATCATGACTACTTGCCTAGTTTGGTTTGAATTCTATTGCGGAGAAGAGGAGCCCAAGTACGTACATAATGTTCTGTGAGGTAAGTTTCTTAGAACGAAAGGTCACGGCTAGTCAGCGTGAAGAACTGGCGCTGATTTAAAGATTAAGTGTTTAGCTTAAAAGGTAAGATAACTTAATTAGATATATGAATTTACTTTCTTTCCTGCCTAGTCTAAGTCTGTATATTTCTTTAGAAGATAATGGTTACGGTGCGGTCGAGTTGCGCTGTCTGAAGTCAGGGATAGAACTGAGGTAAGTAAGGAATCTTTAGTATTAGCAATAGTTAATGGAGAAGGGCGGGCGGAGGGTGAGTTGGTATTATATTCTGTATTGAGATCACTTCCGCCTCGCTTTGGCTCTGGTGGAGTTGTATCTATTTCTGATGGGTCTGCTGCGTCATTAGCAGGTTCCAAGACTCGCAGTCTCTTTAAGGGGGTATACGGAGCGGCCCGGCCCTGCCAACAACTTGATTGTTTTGAAGGCGGAGTAGTGGTCGGAGTCGGTGTAGCCGCAGCAGAGGCAGGTCTGGGCAGGTATGCCAGGTCAAGGACCCGAAGGGCCAGGTGGTTCGTGCCTGCTGTACGGCCGGCCACCTTTGCGGTGAGGCTGAGAAAAGTTCCAGATAGCGGTGTCTTGACTTTCTTCCAACGGTTGGTATTTTCTAAGAAGCAGACCACTGAGAACTGAACCGGAGCGGCCTTCGAGGTGTCATAGACGGACGTCTCGACTGTGAAGTGACGTAGCTCAGAGGGGTCGAGCGAGTTGTTGTTGCGCGACAGCACGGAGCCGATGACGGTCGCCATGGGGCACCATTGTTCTAGTACATGTGCGGGTATTTTATTATATAATATGTGGCTGTGCGGATTGCGTAAGCGCTCGGAATATAATTAATCCGACTTGGATTGGAGCAGTGCTTAGACACGGCCCCGGCGCTTGTTTAGTCAGCCAACACGTGCCAGCGTCGAAACCAGCTTCGACACAGCCATCGTACAACCCCGAACACGACAAACAGCGAGAACTCAATTTTTGGAAAACCCCATCACAAAAGCATCAAAACACTTCTGCTGGTGGCCGCAACAGTCCCTACAGGCCATCGCGCGTCCCTCCGCGTCGATTTGGCACCTGTAGGGTCGCCGTTGCGGCCGCGGCAGGGACAGACCGACAAAATCCGTGAGCAAGCTACACAATATGACACGTCCATCGAACGCAGCAACAGTCATCTAGCTGCGACACGGCAACACGAAAGTGACGACAGAGCCCAAACACCTCTCTAGCGCAGTCACAACACACAGTATACAGTTACTGATGGGTTTCCTGGTCAGCCCATTGCCAACCGACAATGTTTGCGACGTCCCGCATTGACGAGCCCTCGGACTGAACGGCGTCACCTCTCACACGAACCACCTCACAGACACCCGGCATGCTACCATTGGTGCCACACAATACTGCAGATTAACAGACAGCCTCGTCCACTGTCGCCCCTATCCCGTGTCAAAGGAGTGGTGCCCCCTCGACACACCCGACAAGGTCTGAGGAGATTCGCGAGAGAGCTCTCATGCTCAGTAGATCTGACGGCGCGCTCGAGCGGAGCATTGCTCTCGTGGAGCTGCGTCGCGACGAAATGCTGCTGCCGCTGCGCTCGGCGGCAGGTCACACCACAAAACACGGCCACATAGGAACCTAGTGGGCAGCTTCACAACACCAAAGAACAACAAAACTCAGAGAACATATTCCAAGCCCTGAGGGCACGAGGGCAAGCTAGCATAAACGTGGAATGAACATTAGGGGGAGACTGAAGGTATCGCGGCCGCAACAAACGAGGCAATGCGCCTCTACGAGCCTCAACACAATGGTAAAGAAAAACAAGGCTTCATGTACGGCATACAGATAGGAATGGTAATTTGAGGAACAAAAACACAGGCACAGATACGTCACTTCTTGAGGCGAAATGTACGTAGTCGTATATAGAAGCCAGACCACAAGCGGAGGCGAGGGGACAGCTGGCCATACCTTTGGTGTGGTGAAATGGGGCCTGCTGATTCGCTCGGCAAAGCTTCGGCTGTCTGCCAAACCTCTGCATCCGGGCATAGCTGCTGGTATAGCGGCTGAAACCGAGTAGGAATAAACCAACCAACCAACCAACCAATCGTATAACTTCGAGATACGGTCCAACGCCCAGCGATACCTGTAATAAGGAGGCATACCATCACCCCGCCATTAAGCTCTAATACCCGCCGTTATTCTCTCCGCTGACTGAACGAAAGACCTGGTCAACCCCACCGCGTCCTCATGCTTCCGAGATCTAGTTTCAGCTTATTAAAGGGAAATACAATGAGATAGGAAGGGTATAAGATAAGATAGAGTGCGGCGGCTATGGAAATCGAAGCCTGCGCTTTGGTAGGTGGGTTGAGTGTTACTAGCAGAACGCCATTATTACCAGCACATACAAAAGTGGAAAGGCTCTACATGTTTGGGTGATACAGCTATTATACAGTCAAACAACTAACGGCTCCTTGTATGAACACTGCAATCTTTAGTGTCGTAGAGATGTGTCAGTTTGACCTCTGAGGGTTATAAGAAGTTTTGGATTGTTTATGTTTGTGAGGGATGAGTACTAGCAGAGCTGTAATTATGGCTGTGCTTGGCACTATACTATCTAGGGCTGCATGCCGCTCTCTGTTACTAGAAATGATCCTTATATGTATCTCTTCGCAATGCCATCTATTCCAGACGTTTATGGTAAGGGTGTGGCCAGAGCGGATCGGCCGTCCCCCATACTAGCGGTGGCAACTCCAAGTACCATCTCACTGCGAAGGCTTGAACCTCGGTATAATTAGAAAGCGAACTACTGTACCTGGGCTAGCTTGTTTTGTATCACGTCTAGCCTACTACTTTAAAGACAATCTACTTGCTAACCTGCCTTGCTAGAAGGCATTCCGCTCGCCAAGTTCTGTAGCCTCTAGCCACCCACGCGAACAAAGCAGAGTTGGTCGGCGAGCTGTATGATGCCGTTTTCGCTTTACCGGTAGACTTGGCTGCCGTGTTAACAAGGCATGCATAGGTAGGTACAGTCCTGAAAGCGCCGGAAGTGTTTAGTATAGCAAGGTAAAGACACCGTTAGCTGGGATTATTAATTATATTTGTAAGCAGGGGTGGTAATGGTAAAAATGATATAAATTATATTCTGACATGTATGTGTGTATGAAGTGAGGTTAATATACTTGTAGAAGTGGACTGATTAGTCAGTGGTAAACCACGTGACTGTAGGTGTCCTGGGCTTATAATATTTTATTTATGGGCGTATTTTGGTTTCTGTAGAGGGCCTGTTAAGGTGCCGGCGATTGCTTCTAGTTGTCGGAAAGGTTCGCATACAGCGAAGGAGCTAAGATGACATGAGGGTTTCCCTTTGAATATGTAGCTACAGACGTACTGTGTAAATCATGTTTTAGAGCAGTGTTGTTGGAAGCTCGAAGATGAAAGGGACAACCTGCTAGTTGTAGTATGGGCGTGGCCCAGGGGGGCGCTGGGGGCTGAGCTCGTTTAGCGCTAGCGCCTTCACGTGCATTGCCTTGACAGGCTGCCTTTACAGCCCCACCAGCCATCACACTTCATCAACCGCTCTATCGTCCCCCGCAGTGCGTAGCCGCATCTCGGTCGGTCTCAAACGGCTCTCTCGTCCCGGAAACGATGCAGTAGCTGTTGGCAAAACTGGGATAGGCAACCTTGCTACTTTGCCACCATAGACGCCACTATAGACGCCATCACGAACGTCGTCATGGACGCCACCACGACATTATAAATCATCATGGATTTGTAATATCGTTGCCACCCATTCAATCGTTATGTATTTAAGCAGTCATTACCTTTAGTGATTAATACAATTCAATCATTCAAGACAATATTTATGAGTACTTCCAGTTGCCGCATATGACTTCCATGAGTAGCCATGCGACTTCTTCACTTCAATCATTCTGGGAGACTAGGCGTGACAGACTTTCGCGGGAAGACCATCCCACCATATGCTGTTCTTTCACACAGATGGGGAGATTTTGAGGTTTCCTTCGAAGATGTAGAAAGGGGTATCTACAAAGAGAAGGATGGTTATCAAAAGATTGAGTTCTGCGCCAAACAGGCGGCCCAGGATCAGCTCCAGCACTTCTGGATCGATACATGTTGCATCGATAAATGGAACGTTCTGGAGCGCTCAAAAGCGATCAACTCGATGTTTAGTTGGTACAGAAATGCGACCAGATGCTATGTATTCTTGTCGGACGTTTCTATATCTACCACAACGGAGACGCACTATCAAAGTACCTGGGAGGCATCCTTTCGGGCGAGCGAGTGGTTTACTCGAGGTTGGACGCTGCAAGAGCTCATAGCTCCGGTATCAGTTGAATTCTTTTCCCGTGAAGGACGGCGAATCGGCGATAAAAAATCTCTCGAGCAGCTCGTGCATGAGATTACCAGCATTCCGCTCAGAGCGTTGCAGAACTATCCCTTGGATGAATTCACTAAAGATGAGCGAACTAAGTGGGCCAGAAGTCGCAGAACAACCGAAGAAGAAGATAATGTCTACTGCCTGCTTGGAATTCTCGATGTCTCCATGCCTATCTCCTATGGCGAGGGAAAAGAGAAAGCATGGAGAAGACTATATAGTGAAGTGGAGACAGCCAGTAGCGCGCCATCTATCATTCCGTTCTTCCAGAACGATCGATTTGTTGGTAGGGAGTCACAGCTCGCTGAACTGGAAGCAAAGCTCTTCGGAGGCAAGCAAACTACGATGATGGCGATAACAGGACCAGGTGGAACGGGCAAATCACAGCTAGCGCTCGAGCTTGCGTATAAGACAAAACAAAAGAGTAAGAGTTGCTCGGTATTCTGGATCGATGCAAGCGACATGAACAGTCTCCATCAAGGGTATTGGAGTATTGCTCAGAAGCTCGATGTTCCTGGCTGGGACGATGAGAAGGTAGATGTTAAGCAGCTGGTGAAACATCATCTAAGTAGAAAGGGTAAAAGGCAGTGGTTGTTAATATTCGACAATGCGGATAACGCCGATTTATGGTCTCCTGGGTTGTCCACAACACAAACTGCCAGCTCAACCGACTACCTACCACAGTCTGAACTAGGTTCTATCATCTTTACAACAACCGATTGCGATATAGCTAAGATGCTAGCACCACAAATTGTTATCGAGCTAGAGGAGATGACACCAGATGCAGCGCAAAGAATGTTTAAAAATTATCTGAATGCGCCGATCGAAGGAAGTGAGCAGAAGGAGGCGAAACTTCTGCTAGAAGAGCTATCATACCTTCCCCTAGCGATTGTTCAAGCGGTAGCCTACATAAATACCAATAACATCACACTACAAAAATACCGATCGAAATTGATTAGGTATAAGGAAGACGCTCTCGAGCGTAGCAGCAAATTATCCCAGGACAAGCAACAGGAGTACGATACAAAGAGTCCTGTAGCTCCTATACTACTCATCTCCGTAGACCAGATCCGCCATACCAATCCGCTGGCTGCAAACTATCTCTTCCTTTCGGCCTCCGTAGACCGGAAGGATATTCCGCTCGATCTTCTCGAAGCATCTACGCCTTGTGAAAAGGAAGATGCGGTAAAACTTCTCAGCCGCTACGCGCTTGTTACAAGGCGACCTGCCGATTCTGCAATTGATCTTCATCGACTAATACATCACGCTCTACGTGAGTGGCTCCAATGGCAGGAGTGGCTAGGTCAATGGACGCAAAATGCTGTTACACAGCTAGTAAGGGTGTTCCCAAACCCTGATCATGGTAGTAGAAGCAAGTGGAGACGATTACTTCCGCATGCTAAATATGCTCTGTCGCATAGTCTCGCTAAAGAAGTAGGGGGGGACAGGTTAGACCTGGTATGGAAACTTGCCACGGCGCTCTATAATGACGGACGGTATAGCGAATGTGAAGAGTTGACCGTGCAAGCAATGATGGTGAGAAAGAGGTTGCTTGGGGATGTGCATTCAGACACGTTGATTAGTATGAGCCATCTAGCGTTGACGTATATGAAGCAGGGGCGGTGGAAGGAGGCTGAAGAGTTGGAGGTGCAAGTGATAGAAGTGAGAAAGAGAGTGTTTGGAGAGGAGCATCCAGACACGCTGGCCAGCATGGGCAACCTGGCGTTGGCGTACAAGGATCAGGGGCGGTGGAAGAACGCTCAAGAGCTGACTGTGCAAGTGATGGAGGCGAGAAAAAGGGTGCTTGGGGACGTGCATCCAGACACGCTGATTAGTATGAGTAATCTGGCGTTGACGTATCGCAACCAGGGACAGTGGAAGGAGGCTGAAGAGCTGACTGTGCAAGTAATAGAGGCGAGCTCGAGGGTACTTGGGGACGAGCATCCAGATACGCTGAACAGCATGAACAATCTGGCGTCGACGTATTTGAAACAGAGGCGTTGGAGAGAAGCTGAAGAGCTGACTGTGCAAGTGATAGAGGCGAGAAAGAGGGTACTTGGGGACGAGCATCCAGATACGCTGAACAGCATGAACA